CATATCTCGGAAACAAACGGTGCAGAATAATCATTCTTAGAAGCAAGGTACTGATGTGCAACTGCAAGATTTTATCTATCAGTGTTTGAAGCATAAAAAATCTACGGCTAAAGCATTCAGTGATTATACATTTCATGACCACAGGGTAGCATTCTCAGGATGTAGTACCGAAACGCGAAAGTAATAAAATAAGATATAATAATGACATGCTCCAACATCACCTTTGTTAGGCTGATTAGAGTTAAAGCAATGCGCTCAGAATCGAAACGTGAATCATTACTGGCAAAGAATCGACATTCTTTTCTGGAGTATTTCTGCTGGGATAATAAAATGTTCAGAAGCAGTCGAAGTTAGTAAAAAATTTAACGGCTACAATTGAGGGAAACGCTTAATACCTCAGTTTAGTAACATTCTTCAAAAATCTACGCTTAGTGCTTTTTTGTACCTGTTAATAAAAATTTCATACCTCCATATATTCTAAATAATGAACAAGATAGGACCATATCTGTTTAGCGTAATCCATGAGCAGAAATTGGAACCCGTATGAAGTGATGGCCAGTCCATCAGCAGACCTAGAAACAACAAACAGTGAATCACTTTGTGCATTACTGCTTTGGTGGCGCACTTGTGCAGCAGACCGGCTTCTTGCAACACGGTCTTTGTTTCAACGCTGACTGTCCGCTCAGTGTCTTCGCTCGGCAAGGCAAGGTAACGTAGAACACTCTGCATACATGGAAAAACAAGGTTCGCCGAGGGCAAGCAGAATATTCGTGTAAGTCCCTACCTCCCAGCGTTCTAACCCGTAGACTTCCAGCTCAGTTGTGGTTTTCTGATGTTTCGGTTCGACTTCAACTTCTTGGAAAGGGCAGGTGTTGCTAGGAAAGTAAAAGTAAAATGAACTTTTGCTGCTTGATCACTAAACAATCGAACTGTTTAGCACAAAAAAAGTTAATTATCTGCATATTTAAATTAATTAATAAATAACATTGAATTATACGAACAGAACTGCGCATATGGAACTACAAATCGAATGACGTATAAATGAAGCAGATCGGCTTCAGCAATCGAATCTAGAGATGAATCAGCTCACAGGGCATAACGAAAAACTACGTAGTGTGAATGGCAACAAAAACCTTTTGTAGGATTGTGCTGTAAAAATTATGATTCTCTGTCTAGA